GGGATGGATTCGTTTCAAATGTGGTGCTAGAAGAGAGCTTTGTGGATACCCTGGATTGCTAGAAAGACAATCTTAGCGGGATTAGATGAAATAAATCCTGAACTATCTCTGGAGACAAAAATTTTGAAATGGGGATTCTGTGGAAAAGACCGTAAAGCTCAGAAAGGTGGAAGGCAGCAGGAAAAGAGAAAGACCATATGGATTAACTCCCTAAAGGAAGCCACAGCCTTGAATTTACAAGAGCTGAGCAGGGCTTTTTGAGGACGGGACATTCTGGAGATCGCTCATTCACAGGGTCCGCCACGATTCAAAGGTGACTTGACAGCACATCACAACAACGACAGATCCACTAAAGCTCGTTCAAGCTTTGTAGAAGTTAGAAGTGAGAGCCAAATCACACTTACCAAAATAATCCCAGTTGCGCTATACCCATTTTGCCATTTCTGAGATGGTTTCAAAATTTTCTGTGCACACAACAGATGGCCAATATTGTTTCATTTGCCCCAGCAATCGGTTTATTTCCTCCTCACCAGCAGAGGTGTTTTAAATTATACCAATCATGCATCGATTCATTCATTATCATTCAGCACATGTGAATGTTGCTGTTGATTTATATCCTTTTGGGGCACTGTAGCCACTTCATGGCCATTGGACTTGTACCCTAATTTTTTTTAAAGAGATATCGATAAATCACTAGTAGCAGCAGCCACAACCGTGAAATCAACATGAATACATTGCTCAGAAGGACAGAGCCTTCCCCCCTTCCCCTTGTGGTTGAAAGAGAAAGGGACATTTCCTGCTCTGAATTGTAAAGAAAGGGAGGTAGCATGAACACCTCTTCTCTCTTTTTTCCAACCGTGACTCTTCACAATACTTTGCAAGTCTTTTAAAACTCACTTCCTCCTCCCGACAATGTTCAAAAGGAAAAGAAAAATGAAAGCCAAGAACTGAGAGGGAGAGAGATGCGGAGAAATAAGGAAAGGGGGATGAGTGAATAAAGGAGGGAAGGGAAAAGGGGAGGAGGAGAGAAGGCGAGAAGGCTCCTATCACTTTAGTGACATTGTGCTTTTGTAATTTTTTTAAAAAAGTGCAAGAAGAGCCTGATTGCCCCCAAAACAGGGAGAGAAAATGAATTGATACAAAATTAAAGCGCAGTGTAGCTTAATGATTCACATAGAAAGAAAGGTAGTGATGCAGTTCAAAACAATATAAACACTCCTGCTGATATATATATATACCATGTGACCACTGGGGGGGAAAGGTAGTGATGCAGTTCAAAACAATATATGTAAACACCCCCGCTGATATATATACACCATGTGACCACTGGGGGGGGAAGTATCGGTACAACAGAGGAATGAAAAGAATCGATATAGCTGGAGTTCTTGTCTTATGTGTGATTGAGCTTCGAGAGCGAGGTGGGAAAACAGACTGAAGCCGTTCTGAGCAGATCTGTTATAATTTTCACTACATGAAAATTTCCCTGCAGCTAGAAAAAGCACCAGAAAGCACAGCCTGGGTTTGAACATTTCTCCCCAATACCTTTGGGGTTTTGGATTTTTTAAAAGAAAATTGGACTGTTTTCCTCTTATATGCCGAAGCATCTGAACATAGCTTTTTCTTCCTGCAGACCGAAGGTACCATTTCGTTGTGCTGACTGTCTGAGACAGTCAGGGCGGTCTGCTTATTTCATATTGTGAGTCTCCATAATGATTGTTTTTCGATGCATGGCTTGTGTGAATTGCTTTGAATAAATAATGCACACCTCCAAGACATAAGAGCCTTTTTCAGATTTGGGAGAAAAAGTCAAATATCTTCTAGGAGAAAGAGCAGAGGCGATCAGGGTTCACTCAGCTGCGCACAGAAGCTGATCTATTTTATGCTCGTCTGATATTATGGTAACATTGTGGAACTAAACCTGGTTACTAACTCGTCTTAATTCATAGCTCCCCCTAAGGAATACGTTCCTTACACATTACTGCTGATACTGAAATATTAGCTTTATAGTTCTCCAGAAAGACAAACAAGTGACATCTGAATTCAAGTCTGAAGTTCCTCAAAGCGCAAAAAAAATAAAGGGTGTGATCAGGTGCTTATTCAGATCTCAGTCTGGACTGCCGACAGTGCTCTCTGGTTGTCGTGATTTGCTGGCGACCAGAGAACATACTACAGATCGCAAACCGGCCGGGCCCTGCTCTGTGCTCTCTCTCTAAACCGTTTCTGGTCCGACGGCCCGGATGCTCTTTTTGGGAGTTGGCTGGTGTGATCGGGACAGACAGAAGGACTGCTTTAAAGGGTCTCTTTACAATCAAACGCTAGAAGTGACCATTTCCAGCCCAATCCAGTGCGATTATTCTATCCTTAGACACTCTAAAGGTTATCATGTTTTGGACACATCAAGAGAAGACCAGACTCACTTGGAAAGACAATAACAGCATGGAAAGTAGAAGGCAGCAGGAAATGAGGAAGACCCAAGAGGAGATGGACCGACTCAATAAAGGAATCCCCAGCCTTGCGTTCACAAAGGCTGTTGAAGACAGGACGTTCTGAAGGTCATTCATCCTTACGATCATCATACGTCAGAAGACACTCAGCAACAAAGAGCAAGATGGATCCCCAGCATTTAAGAGATTCAAGTGTTTGTTTATTAATCTGCCGACTAAAGTGTTAATGGCTTGCAGCAGCTCTAAGAAAAGTCAACGCTGCGGACTGTGAGCAGAGCTAGCCAGGTCAAGCAATGTGGTTTATCCCTGGAACTTTTCCGAGAGTCAGTCAAAAGGATTACAAAGAATTTTGCTGAAATGAATTAACAGGGTGCATACTTTTTTTAAACACAGGTGTGAGCACGCATGGGTGGTCCCCCACCCCACCCCGAGGGAGCACAGGCACTGATGTTTGAATGTGGGGCCAGACTCCTGTTTCACCCACACACACACACACTTGGTTAGGGACAAAGTATAATATATGTAACACGGCTGTTTCCTGTTGCTCTGAGCAGGCACCGGACTGACTGACTTTACTTCCGAGTGAACCTGCATAAAATAGGGTTAAATAGATTAGTGTTTAATAAGGGAAGCAGGGGGAAAAGGAAAACCAAGCGAGATGTTTCCTACTGCTTCTGTGGAGATGCCTTCACTCAGTTGTCCTGCCTCTGCAGAAGAACGTGCTTCCTGTCCTTCCCTCCTGTCTTTGGTTCAAAATCCTAGGCTGGCTGACTCTTGATCTTATTCAGAATGGAAGGAGAGAGGACACTTACCACACAGCAGGCAAGTCCACAAACCGAGGAGGGTCCAGATCATCTTCGCCTCTGTCCGCACCAGCTGGGGAATCTCAATGCCCCTTGAAAGGGATGTTACCAGAGGGTGACGTCCTCTGCCAGGACTTGGTGGACGACCTCTCCGAAGCGCCCAGCTATTTATAGGCGTTGTGGGGGGACAGTGAATGGGTTCTGATGATGGCCACTCCCCTTCTCCCACCCACC